TAAAACGCATGCAACATGTTTGCTTTCTCACATGTTAACTTATAATATTAAAAAACAATACACACATTTCTTTAAAAACAAAACCATGACAAGGAACCTAACAGAATGATATGGATAATCATTAAATCATGAAGTCCATACATACAAAGTAACAGTTTTGTGTTGCTTTTATGGTGGTATGTTGTACGTGTGATGAGAAAGTTTAAGAAGGGTGGTCCATATTTGAGAAATAAAAGCAGGTGATGGAAAAAGTATAGGTTGATGAAAAAATAAGATACTGGAAGTATTTTTATATTTGAATATTGTGGATGAAGTGATATGAGTTATGGCATAAGACTTGCGTGACTTTAAGTTGCTGTTTGAAACATGGAAAATGATGAAGAGTTAGATGAAGGAATGACTATGGTGTTTGTTTTTCTCATGAAAAGATTTAAGGTTCCAAATAATGTGGCAAGTCTTTGTGTTCTTTTTTGATGGAATAGTTAAGAATACACAGCCATTTAAGAGAGAGAGAATTAAGAAATAAAGGAAAATGTTGGGGTCCCTCCAAAATGTTTGTGTGAGTGATCTTCTTTTTTGAGAAGATAAAGAATGATCTTTTTTCTTACATGTGGAAAAATGAGGATGTACTAAAATCTTGTTTCACTAAATTCCAAAAGTGTGAAAATATCAAGATATGTTGTGTTATAATGTATGAAAAGTTTTTGTAATGGTCTCATGTGCAAGAAAGAATTCATAAAAATCTCTCCATGAAAAAGTGGTTTATGGTTATCTACAACAAAGATGGTAAAGGTAGCAAGACCTTTTTTCTTGAGTAAGGCAAGAAAGCACACTTTAAACATTCATTTTATGAAATATTTTTTGATGATTTGCAGCCCTCTTGATCAAAACAAACTTGTAAGACAAGTTGGGATCAAGTTTGAATTCTCCACATGATGCCAAAAACAATTCTGAGCAGCTGACTTTGGGGCAGGTTTTGGACATAGTGTAGATGGTTGATTTTCACCAAAATGGAAATCTTGGGTAGTCAATATGGAAAGGAACAACTTTCCAGTTGTAGAAAAGTTCAAAAAAAGCTTAGAAAGACCTCAAAATAGCCCATCAATTCGTGTCCTCAAATATGGCCTTCAACCCTTCATGAATATCTTGGCACATTGTCTCTACTATAACTTTTTTCTCAAACCATCTATCTTTACAAACTTGGTATCAATAGAAAGCTGAGATAACCATCTACAATTTTCATATTTTAAAAAAATTTAAATAAGGCTTGAAAGTACATGAAAAATAGCATGGAAGTTTTGGTAAAGAATTGTTACTCAAGGGACTTAGCAGAATTTTTCTAAGTTACCAAAACATGATCTTAAAAATCCTTCACTTTAGAGCTTCATAACTTGAGATTTGTTGGTCCAAATGAGAATTTCTTAGTATGCTTGGAAACCTAGGAGAACAAGGAACAACTCTTATATTTGAGGAATTTTGAACTGAGGCTTGGGTCATTAAGAAAAATCCACATGAAGTTACTTTCAAAATGCTGAAAATTATACTGTCAACTTTGCAACTCTAACTTCAAAGCACCATAACTTGAGTTCTAGACAGGATTTTGAGGAGTTATTGATATCAAAAGAAAGCTGAGAAAGTTATCTACAACTTTCATGTTGATGGAAAATTCAAATTAGACTTGGAACCCTCTTGAATTTGGCCGTGAAAGTCATTCCAATAAGCTGAAATTTATAACTTAAAATTTTTTCTAAGTATGGAATTTCCAAATCAAGTTTTTCCTAACTTTGAATCAATATAACTCTAAATTCATTCATCTTTTGGACATGATTCTTCTACAAACTTATAGTTTAGGATATCCTATTTACAAAGATTATTGGTTTTCTCCAATTGACTCATGGATGAGTGAGATATCACTCTTGCAAGATGACCAGAATTCTTGATTTCCACACTTAGAATTTTTCAACCAAAACCCTAATTTCACCAAACTCTTGATTTTATGCTTCTAACTTGATTTTTCTTGATTCATTCATATGAGACCATGAAATAAGACTTGTGAAGTTCATAATTGACCACAAAACCCAAAGGTTGACTTTTATGAAGCTACAGTCGACTTTTGAATCAGATGAAAACAAAACTTCTCTCATCCACTTAGGACACTCTTGACTTGAGTTTCTTGGGATCGAATAAGCTCTTAGGGAACCTTGAGATGCATGAGGGCTTCCTTGGTTGATTACTCAATCAAATCTTGGTTAATTAGGGCTTTCTCCTTTCCTCCACAAACCTTAATTCCACAAAACAAACAAAACCGTAAAGCTAGATGAATTGGTTAGTGATGCAAGGATGATTGATCTATGATGCTCATGCAAATGTCAAAGGATCTGAGGATAAAATTTGGGGTATGACAGGTAAGCATGGTGGAAACTTCTTAAGACTAAATTTTGTTTGCTGATTCTTGATTCTCTAAATGTGCCATTGATGAACTGATTCAAGCTCGATGCATGAGATTAGGGAGATTAGGGTTGAATAATTGCGGAAGCGTAGGCGAACAAAACCGCAACTGATATCATATTAGAGATGAAACATAACACTCATCTTCAATGTAATCGCAAGGTGAAAATTGAAAGAACATAATGAAAGAAGAGTGAAACTCTTGTTATTAAAAGAATGAATCAGTGCACTGATATAATAATGACTTATATACAAAGTGAATTAATTGAGATAGTTAACTTTAACCCCTAACAACTTACATAATAACATAAATTGTTAAGTCATTATTCACTATTCTAACACTTACATATTGGTTTGCCTAAAATATAAACTTGTCTAAATAAAAAGTTCATATACCAAAAGCACATTTTCAAACAGTCAAGTACTTTTTTTTTTAATATTTCAAGCAGTCAAATATAACTTAGAAAATACACCATAGTTGAATATTATGTCAGAAAAAACTACTTAATTCAATTGATGTAGAAATAGTAACTCAAATAACAGGATAAAAATTTAAACTTTACATACCCATTGAAGAGAAGAAAGGTGAATAAAGGCAACAACCATTAAAAAAAATTGATGATTTAGAGAGAAAAACAAAAATAAATTGATTCTTAAACTCCACTTAATGTATTGTTTTAAGTAAAAGGTTGGATAAAGGTTCTGAAGTGAATGTTTGTTACGGTTAGGGTTATAAATAGTCTGTAAAGAAATTGTTAGATGAGAAATCAAAATTTAAGGGAGAACGAAAGTGATAGTGAATTCAACGTGGTTACCAAATGTTATGAAACTAGGGTTATGGTGTTTCAAGTGTTATATAACAAATATTAATAATTTTAAAATAAATTAAAATAAACTAAAAAAGTCATGTAAGATAATATAATATCATGTTGTCATGTCATATATGCACGACTTAACGTTTTTTTCAAAATATTAGAAGAAAAGGATCAACTTGACTAACAAAATGGTTTCTAAGTTACTAAAATGTAACATTAGTTAGATAGAGGATTAAAGTGAAATCTTAAATTAAGTTAAGAGATCAAAATATACATTAAGACTAAAATAATTCAATAATCTCCGACAACGACACCAAAAACTTGATGACAATTTAACAAGTGTACTAAATATTATTGAAGTAATAAAATAATTTTGTATCCACAAAGATTGTTTTATTTTAACAAAGAATTTGGGTTCTAAAAAAAGTAAAATTGGGGGACTTTTGACTTTGATTTGAGAAAATAAATTGTGCAAATAAATTGTTGAAAAACTTGATCAGATTAAAGGCGATCAGACCTTGTTTCGAATCCCTTATATGTCACTTTTGATGTTGGTGTCTAATTGCTCTATATTGATTTTTCAATGAATACAACAGTTTAACATAACCATTATACCTAACTCTTTGGTGTATAACTCACTATTCTAGACTACAACTCTCTAATTCCTTAGGTAAACTAAATAGTTAAAATAGAGAAATTTAAGAATGTTAAACCCTAAGTTCTTTTATTCCTAATCAATTATTAAGTTGAATAGATACTTTAAATCTGATTCGTAAGGTTATGTTCAATAATCGATGTGTTTTGTGTTTGATATATGATTTAGTCAACACATATAAAGTATTGAACATAAAAAATAAATGAATAACAAATGTTATATTAATAAAAAAGGCAAAGAGTACAAAACACAAACATATGATTCACCAAATTCATGTAGGTTCATCTAACAAACCCTAATCAATAAAAACTTACCTACACGTATTAATAGGAATCATAACTTATAAAAAATAAATAGCGCTTAAATATCTCCAATCAGAATTTTGCTTCCTTACCTACACGTATTAATAGGAATCATAACTTATAAAAAATAAATAGCGCTTAAATATCTCCAATCAGAATTTTGCTTCCTTACCTGCACGTATTAATAGGAATCATAACTTATAAAAAATAAATAGCGCTTAAATATCTCCAATCAGAATTTTGCTTCCGGTGATGAAAACATTCGCTCCAGAGCACAAAAGCTTGATTCGACATCCAATTTCTATCCATCAAAATATCCCTTAGAACCCTTCTCATACTTATTTTTAAATAGGAGTTGATACGACTCCCCTATTTCTTAGAGAACACTTATATTTATATACTTTATACACTAAATTGAAGAGATAAATATTATACTTCATTATTCTATAATTTCAGATAGAAAACAAACCTTATACTTTCTATAATTTCAGATAGAAAACAAACTTTATACTAGCACCAGACACACCATTGGAGATCAGTATATCAATATTGTTGGCAGCAATGTCCAAAACATTATTTGCAACTAGTCGGGGCAAACACCATCAAGGTTTTCATCAATTAAATTAAGTAAATAGAAATTGAAGGTCATATGACCACATCATCACACGCAATAGAGAACAATTGGCCCTAAATAAATGTTGTTTCTAAGAACAAGTTTGAATAAACAATGGCCTCTGCAGAATACAAGTATTCCAGGGGCAACGAATGCAATCTATGTCTTCAAACAGCAACTTGTCCAAATAGCTGTTTTCGGATCTGCAACAACGAGAATCTTCATTAGTCACTAGATGTTATATTTCAATTTCAAAGTTCAAATATCTTTAAAATAACCGCCTTTGTAGTTGAACATAATGTGAAAGTCAACAATACAAACAATGATGCAGAAAGTATATAATGAAGAGAAATATTTAGCATAACATGACAATAGGTATGCAAAAGAAATTTTACCTCTGGAAGCTTTTTGCGGAACACTACATCCAACCGTGCATCAAGAGTATTTTCACAGACAATCTTTCCATCGCGAGAAGCCAACACCACCCCACCAGAGCTGAATATCCATACAAATAATCAGGTATGCTGAAACTGATATCAATTATTAAAGCCTACATAACTAATATCATGTTTGGATGGACATTGGAGAAAGCTTTCTCGCGTCCCAATGTCAAATCAATGTGAAAAACACAAGCAACAAATTGTAGAGTAGCCTTATTTTATTAAGTCTCCCAAACACACACTAAATGTATATTTGAATGTAGGTTCGCTTGTCCATATTCGCGTTCCTATGCATTTCTACCGTGAGAATACAGAAGCTAACAATTGTAGAGTTGGCTAGACTCATGTTTTCACCATGAAAAGTTAAGTTTCCAAACACATGCTAATACAACTTTAGGCAGTATCCTCAATCAACTAAAAACACCAAAAGTGTGGTAACCTTAGGTTTGAAACCCTTGATTAATTCTGACCAAATATAGTGTAATTAAACAAGAGAAAGAAGGTACAACATGAGTAAGAAGCAAGGACCTGATTAACAGATTCACACAGTTGATAAATATTTAAGTAGAAGTCTAAAATATAAACATTACCAGTAGGGATCGTGAGTATGGTGATGCTTGGGTGCAGGTGGAAGATAGACATCATGGTCAACAACGATCTCTGGTGGAATAACACCTGCTTTTTCAGCATACTCCTCTGCAGCTGCTTCCAGCACATGTTCTACCATGTGCACGTCATGTTTCCGACATCTCAACAAGACAGAAGGTTCTTTCAGTCTTAGCAAACTCTGTCATGTACAAATCTTATTATTACATTATACTCAAAGACCAGATACTTGAGCATAGAAGGTGGTCCATAAAATAATATCAGAAGAATGAGTTTAGGCATTGAACATTTGAACCCATGACATTAAACGTGCCACCTTAAAAACCAAGGTTGCTTCTCATGACATCATATAACTATTATTCGAAACAAACGCTGAGAAAGGTTCATCAAAGTTACAAGGTCATTGCAAATTTCCATGAATATACTTGTTATATCTACAAAAATGTTATCATTACATGTAATACAAAATTGAGACAAAGTAACTAAATAACAGCAATGTCGGTTCCCTATCAGCAACACTACCAAAAAGTGCAAACAATAATACATATACAATACAGATACTTGGCAAAATGCAAGATCAAACTAATTAGGTGTAAAATATTGAAATTTTAACTAACCTGAACAATGAGATCTTTTAGAAGGTTTTTGTACTCATGATGGCCCACATGCAAAATATCCTCAACAAGGTGATGATGGCTCACATTCAAAAGTTCTTTAGCTGCAACTTCTTTCATGGAACTAACAATGTCATCTTGAGCTTGAAGAACTTTGATCCGAGAAGCATTCAGCTGCATCGAGTACTCACTGCAACAAACAATTGTGCCCAAAAAATTAAAATATATTTTTGTAAGTTAGCATAACAATGCAGGAATCCACAGTATTCACATCATGAAACAAATTAATCCTCAAAAAAAAAAGAGTTTCACTCATCATATTTTCGCAATATATAACCCTAACTTCAAGTAATTAGCAGCGGATACTTATCAATGGTTTGAACATTAAACTGAGTTAATTCAAAACCAAAAAACAAAATGGAAATATAGAGAGAAAACTATTAAACTTCTAGCTACATTCAGCTAAAGCTCAATCAAGCTAAGTAGCTAACACTGATTATTAGTTATACTTTTAACCGAAGATTACAACAAGGATCCACTCAAATAATCTGAATCTATGAATCATGTACACCGGAAACACGATACCGACACTCGCGCGTTGACACCAGTAATAATTTTAAAAACTAAATAAATTAAGGGTAATCACAACTGTCAGTGTTGCTGTCAGCAGTGATAAGGACCTGAACACACCTTTTTCAGAGGTTTTGGTATTACAGACATCAGAATTCAGAAATCAAGCAAAAAATACAATGCATGGATCAAATTATAAGATCTAACCAATAGATTTAATATCTAAATATATGCAATTGAAATAGTGATTGATCCCAAATAATAACCAGAATTCAGATTCAACCATTTCAGCAAACAAAAGTCAACATAATAAAAATTAAAATCCATTGGGAATTCGAATTATCAGTAAGAAAAACAGCACACAGAAAAAAAATTAAATCGAAAATTACATTTTCTTTCGAATTTCAACTTGGCGCTCTTTGCGTTCGTATTCTTGTCTGATCTTCTTCTTCTCGGCTTCAACCAACTGAAGCTTCTCGATATTGAATTCCTACACGAAGAAAAAACAGATTAGGGATGAAGTGCAGAGAGGATGAATGTGATTGCGAATTGCGATCGAGAAAAGAGATTGATCGGAAAAATGGCGTTACCTCTTCAGCAGAAGCAGAGATCTCAGTGGCTTTTTCTTGAGCTTCTTGTTGGATAAACCTCACCATCTGGTGGATTTGACGAGAGACATCTTCGTCGTTCATTTTGGGAGAAGATTCACAGGAAACAGAAGCTACTTCGTCAATGGGCGACTCACCAGAGTAATAACAGTCTACAGGAGCCAGCTTAAGCTCTTTTATACTTGAGCATCTTTATTAGGATTGAATTAAATGGGTAAATTAAGATATTTTTTCTGGACTCAAAGTGAGTTGTAAGATTTAAAAAATTTATAATTGATTTGAGTAGTTTTTACGTTAATGGTAATTGTTTATAAGAAACCAAAACTTAACCCTACATTTTATATTTTTTTATTCAAGTTATCATTAATTTAATTATTTTAATTAAAATATATATAATTTTTTAAATAAAATTTATCTTAAAAATTTAAAAATAATATTAAATATATTTTATTATAAAATTAAAAATATACAAAATTCACAATAACAATACATAAAAAAATACATTTTCATAGAAATATAATTATAATAAGGATTCGATTGGTTGTGATCCATTTGATAATAAATAAATTAAAATTTAGAAGTAAAATTGTGTGTAAAAAAATTAAAATTTCTATAGAATTTATAGAAGGTAAAAAAATGATAATATGACCGTTATTATTTTCAAATATCATATCCTTACTTTAATGTTGTTGGAATATTTGAAATATTTTATTAATATTAAATAATATTATAATAGGTTTCACATAGTTAACGTTAACTATATAGATAATTGAAACTAAATTTTAGTTCATTTGGATGTCATGTCAGCTCTCCTATAATGCAAATTCCTTATTACTAACGTAGGCTATAAATAATTTTGGTTTAACAACCTTGCGTTAAAGTTGCTCTTAGATAAATTTATTTTTTTAATATTTTTTTAAAAAGAAATTTGATTTATTCATATTTATTTTTATAAGAACTTTTTTTGATGTATTTTATTTTAATTTTGTTGGGAAACGACGCCCAAGAAAATAAAGTATAATTGATTTTTCGATTAATAAGAAAACCACAAAGTAAAGAAAAAGAGAGAAGAGAAGAGAAAGACAATTCAAAGTAGTTAAAAAACTGAATTCTTGATTTAATTACACATTAAAGAACAATGTTTACAATTGAGCCTCAGTCACACCACTTTCTCCACTTGAATAGCAGGGATTGATGGAGAAGTGAGAACTAGTTTGATATTTATAAGAAAACTAAACTCTAACTTTCAACTAACATACTAAACAATTGGTCCAACAGACTGACCCAATTCAACATGCTAACTTAAATAACAAGCTAACATATTCGACAAGCTATCTAAGACATCTGCATGCAAGAACAGACTTCGACTATGACAAATACATCTTTGACTTCGACAAAGTTTGTTACAACGCTAGTTTATAACCTATATGCTACAAATCTCCACCTTGGAACAAAATCTGAATCTCCACCTATATGTCATCATGTTGTCCTATCAACTGCATAAAGTGGAAAAACTTGGAACTTGGCAATGTCTTGGTGTTCATATCAGCAGCATTGTCATCAATCAAAACCTTCAACAATTGGACTTCACCTCGCTCGATTATCTCTCTGAAGAAATGCATCCTTACATCGATGTGCTTGGTTCGCTCATGATAGGTTGAATTCTTCGACAGGTGTATTTCACTTTCACTATCACATTTAACAATGATAACTTGATCTTAAAATTTTATCTCTTTAGCAAAACCTTCAAGCCACAATGCTTCTTTCATAACTCCAGTGAGTGAAATATACTCCACTTTAATGGAAGATAATGCAACAACATTCTAAAGTGTTGGTTTCCAACTGATTGTTGTGCCAAACATAGTGAAGACCTATCCTGAAATAGATTTTTGGAATCCATACAACCTGTATAATCAGAGTCAATAAATTCTTTGATTTTGACTTTGTTATCATCACCACAGGTTCCACCATAAATCAGGACTCTACTCAAAGACCTATTTATGTACCTTAGAATCCACTTCAATGCTTGTCAGTACATCTTCCCAGGATTAAACATATACCTGCTTATAAGGCTCACTGCATATGCTATGTCTAGTCTCATACAAATCATACATCAAAGAACCCATTATACTAGCATATGGAATGCTATTCATATAGGATTTTTCGACTTCAGTACGAGGACTTTAACTCGTACTCAACTTGAATTGAGGATTAGTTGGTGTTACAACAAGCTTTGAAATCGACATACCAAACTTGTCGAGAACCTTCAGTAGGTATGTATCTTGAGATAAGCATAATCTCGACGAATTTCTATCTCTTCGAATGCCAATCCCAAGAATCCTGGAGGCAGCTCTCAGGTCCTTCATATCAAACTTTTTATCGAGTTCATCCTTGACATTCATAACATCTTCGATATGTTTCTTGCTATGAGGATGTCATCCACATAAAGAAACAAAATAATAAATGAATTTTCTGGTTGAAATCTAAAGTAAACACAATGGTCGAACTGGATCCTAGTAAAACCTATGTGTGTCATGAACTTTTCAAATCTCTTATTTCATTGTCGAGGATATTGTTTCAGGCCATATGACGACCTATTCAGATTGCACACATAATCTTCCTTTCCCTTTTCTTCATACCCTCCAATTTTCCCCATCAAGATTATTTCATCTAGATCACTATACAAGAAGGTTGTCTTCACATCCATATGTTCAAGTTCTAGGCCGAACTTTGCCACCATGGCTAACAAATTTCTAATGGATTTGTGTTGTACAACAAATGAGAACACATCATTGAATTCGACACATTCTTTCAGAGAGAATCCCTTAGTAACAAACCTTACCTTAAATCACTTTGACATCACTCCTTCAATTTCTTCCTTAACCTTGAAAATCCACTTACAATTGACTAACTTGGCCCCTGCAGATTTCTCGATCAGCTCCCAAATGTTATTATCATGAATATATTTGATCTCATCATCCATGGCTTTAAGCCATTCAGTCTTGTCTCGACTCCTCATAACTTCCTTATAATATCTAGGTTCTTCATCCATAACCTCACTTGCAGAGATTAAGGCATAAGCTATGAGATTTTTATAACCAAGTCTCTGTAGTGGCTTGATGACTCTTCTCGGTCTGTCTCTTGCCAACATGTAGTTATTATCAATCTACTCATCTTCATCAATAACTTTGCTTCTTCTTCGACTTCATCTGAGTTATGCAATTCAACATCACTATACTCCACAACAACATTAATCTTTTTCTATTCTAGCTCCTCTACAAAGATCTTTGTACTTCAACCAACGTCATCAGTTTTCTTGAAAATCATCTTAGCTCCATTGAAAACTACATCTTGACTTATGATACACCTTCTGTGACCTGGCTCTTGGCACCACAACTTATAAGCTTTGACTCTTTCAGGGTATTCAAGAAACATACATGTTAGAGTTCTAGGTTTGACCTTGTCTTGCCTAATCTGAGCATATATTACACATCCAAAAACTCTAAGTTTGTTGAGGTCTTGTGGATGACATGACCAAAATTATTTAAATGTCTTCATCCCCAAAGCATTCGATGGATACCTATTTATCAGGTAAGTTGCAATCATGACTGCTTCAACCCAAAACACCTTCTTTAATCCAGCATTAACCAACATACACCTCACTCTTTCCAAAATGGTTCGATTAAACCTTTTAGCCAAACTATTTTGTTGGGGAGTACCTACAGTAGTTTTGTGCCTTGTAATACTAGACATAACACAATAGTTGTCGAAAGCCTCGTTGCAAAATTCAAGACCATTGTCGGTCCTTAACCTCTTGAACTTCCTGACATATTGGTTTTTGACCAGGTTCTTCCAACTTTTGAAATTTTCAAAAGTTTCATCCTTAATCGTTTGGATGAATACCCATAACTTTCTATAATAATCATCAATTTTGGATAAGAAATACTTTGCACCTGAGTGTGAATGATTCCTTGTAGGCCCCCAAAGATCAGCATGAATATAATCAAGGGATCCATGTGTTATTTGTTTACCTTTGTTAATCTTCACCCTATAGGACTTACTAAATACACAAGGTTCATAAAACTCCAGTTTTCAACCTTGTCACCACATAATTGATTTTGTTTTCACAATTTGACTAGGCCTCTTTCACTGACATGGCCAAGTCTCTTGTGCCATAGCTTATTCTTTGACACAGGTTTTGTGGATGTCGCATCTGCTGAACCACTTACAACCTTAGCTTCAAGGGTATACTAGCCTTGTTTCTTCACACCTCTTAAGACTTCCTTCGAACCCCTCATTACCCTTAGGGTACTTTGCTCTCCTTTAAACATATACCCTTTCTTGTCAAATTCATCAAGAGTAATCAAAATCCTCTTAAAATCTGGTACATACCTGACATCAGTCAATAGCCTTATTGACTAATCATGGAGCTTGAATATGATCGATCTAATTTCGGCAATCTTGCAGGCTTTTTTGTTTCCCAGCAGCACTGATCCACCATCTCGGTCACATAATTCCTCAAGCACATCTTTATTTGGATTCATGTGCCAATTATAACATGAATCCACAATTCACTCTTTGCTAGAGTCGCTACTCAAAACCACCATGACATTAGATGATTCATAACCATCTTACACAATGGTTGTATTACCACTATCCTTTTCACCATGATTATTAAGACGCTTAGGGCATATCTTTCTTGTATGACCCTCATTCTTACAATGATAACACTTAATAACAGGAGTATAACCGCCATAAGAATTATATAGAACTTTACCCTTCTTCTTCTCAAACCTACCATCTTTCTTCAAGAATTTCCCTTTAACGGGCAAACCTTCACCAACCGAAGATGGCTTGTTCTCCTTTCGTTTGTTCAAATCCTTAAAATACAAGGTTTATTGAACTTCTTTAAAGGTCAATGATTATCTTCCATACAAGAGAGTTTCTTTGAAGTGAGCATGAGATCTTGGTAAATAACACAACAACAACAACAACAACAACGCTTGATCTTTATCATCAATCTTGACCTAGATATTTTCAAGATCAAAAATCAACTTTTTGAACATATCCAGCTGCTCAACCAA